GATAGGAAAATTCAGTTTGGTGCTAAAATTTATCATTTCTACCAGGCGACTAAAATTTAGCATTAAATGGAGGCGAAGGATTTTTTCCCTTAAAATATTCTGTCCACCTGCGCGAGCCTTTAGCTCAAAAGTATTCGGTTAGCACCGAAGTAAAATGTTAAATTATTATTATTATAAAACAGTGTTTTATTTGAAAATTATAAAACTCAAATCGGGAAAAATAATTACAACAAATTTTAGCAGTTTAAAAGAAGTTTTGCGACCTCCCGTGTTTGCGGTGTTCTTTTACAGTTTAATGGGTTAAGTTTTTATTTTTGAAATTCGCCACTTGGATAATGTAAGTACATATATAATTGTGATATGTAAGAAGGACAAACATATTTGCTCCTGTTGGGGTTTTCCTTAGGGCGAGCTACAAAGTATTCAGCAATTCGGTTCCGATTCAAAACTCTTTAGTTATTTATTCCTTAGCTTGTTGGTTTCAAACGCAGTTGCCTGTGTCACCTGTGTACCTGGAATAAAATAAAAGAAAAAGAAGGTTGAAAAAGCTTATTTTCAAGAAGAGAGTTAAATATTCCCGAAGGCTTTTGGTGCGGTGAATACGAAACTGGCCGTAAAATTGTTATATCACGTCAGGTTTTTGAGCTATTCTAAACTAAATGTGCAAAAAACACTGCCTTTCGTCGTATGTATGTATCATCGAAAATATTTTTTTTTTTACAGAAAACTAGTCAAAGTATCTTAAAATACAAATCTTCCCCTTTCCAATGCCGTTGAGTATGATATAATCTGCCTTATGCTGAGTTTCGCCCAAAAAAAAAATTCACCCGAAAATTTGTCATCCGCCCATAGTAAATACATGGAAACCAAAAGTGAAAAGTGAACCGGTTCGGGGAAAATGAAATTCATGATAAGGCTGAATATCTTTTTTTTCGCCGAGATATCGCAGTCTTTCAAAAATATGTGGTACAAATGCTTAATGGATTTTCGAATATGTATACATGCACACTAATTCACAAATATTCAAAACGCAATATCTCGGCGAAACAAAGATAGTTCGACAAACTCAACGGCATTCGAAAGAGGAAGATTTGTTTTTTAAGATACTTTGGCGCGTATTCATAGTCCAGCAACTAAGTCGAAACTAACAAAGTTGGAACTTAAATTTAGTTCAGCATTTCAATGTACATTTTACGGTTTCTGAAGTAAAATTGGCTATTCTGAAGTACATTTTACTGTTTCTGAAGTACAATTGACTATTCTGAAGTTCATTTGATGCTTTCTGAAGTACTCTTGGAAAAGGTGTAGTTTTCTGCGATGCTACATAACTTCAAATATAACGACAAGTAATTTTTAGCAAAAAAAAAAACCGACTTAAAAAAAATATATATATATCTCTATATATTTCATGATCCAATGATCGGATCTAAACCAGATTAGTATGGGACCACCTCTGAGACCCTACCTGTCCGATGCAAAAAGAATTATCGGTTGACGTGGTCCAAAGTTATGCGGTAACATACATAAAAAAAAAAAAAAAATATTCCGACGAACTGATAACCTCCTCCTTTTTTGGAAGTCGGTTAAATAGTGTGTTTTGAACTTTTAGGTTAGGATATCTGAAACATTTGATTCGGTATAACCGTCAAATTCGGATTCAGCGCAGCAAAATCCTTCGGTAATATATGTTGGTGTTCTGCTTCTTCTTGTTGGCCTGCTTAAATGAAGATTTATGGTAACGCCAATTGTTTTACGAAATGTCTCTATGAATAAGTAACAAAAGTATCGAGACCAGTGTGAGTTTCGAAAGTTTTTTTCATGTGAATATTCCCGCCGTCATCCCCGACTATTATTGTAGGCTGCCTCAAAAACCGAATAATTTATGGAACTTAAACTGAAAGATTTAAATGCCAAGTATGTGGAAATAACCACTGAACTGTACTGAAAGAACATCACCTAAATCACCAATTTGACTTCTGTGTATGCCTCTGCTCGTCAATGCATGGCTTAGCTATTCAACCACTGACTCTTGCGTTCAAAGACACTACACGCTTCATGTGTTTGATTTGTTTCAAATTTTTTGGGTTGCTGGACAAACACAAATAATAAATAAATATGAAATTGAGCTTGATTAATACATTTTTAGAAACTTAACAGCACAAAAACAAAAACAAATCGATTTAATAGTTTTCCAAATATCTCGAGAACGGCGCGAGGAAAAAATTCACAGATACACACATGAACGCCGTCCATTTTGGTATGGAACGCCCCATATGCTTAATTTGATCTAATTTTTTTTCATTTATGTGAGAGATGAATTTTTAAACTAAGAAAGACTGATATATGTATATACATACTAGCCGGCCTCGTAGGCGCCAGGCTTCGTCACACGCTGAATGTGTAGATATTAAATAAGATGCGATTGACAACTAAACAGGAGGCCAAACCTTTTCACTGACACCTCATTTCTTGTAATCTAACGAACAGCCCACATTTTATTTATTTTTCGCACAGGCTGCAACCCTCTTCGAAAAATAAAACCTTACTGCAAATCGGAAAGTCAAGCCCTTTACTTTGGCACCTAATTTTTTTAAATCTAATGTCATTAACAAAAAATGCCCTCGCGTATTATGCATACATAATTTTTAATTAGGTGGCAACCCCACACAAACAAAAAATAAAAACTTATTGCACATGCAGAGACCATACCATTTCAATTGGTACCTTAGTTTTTACAAACAAACGGAGATATTATAATTTTTTAAAAGTGGCAACCCTACTCAAAAAGTAATACATTATTGAACAACGAAAAGCCGAGCCCTTTTATTTGACACCTCATTTTTTGTAATCCAACGACCAATGCGGATCTAATAATTTTTTAGACAGGTGTCAACCCTATAGTAATTTAAGGTACTTAAGATAATATTCCTATCGATACAGATTATATCTGCTTAAAAAAATCTCGTATAAATCCGTTTAATAGTTTTTGAGATTAGCGTGTTTAAAATAACCCGACTTCCCCTTATACTATGTATAGAAGATAGAAATTTATAAATAGGTGGCAACCCTATTCAAAAAATGATAGCTTTCGTACGTGCGAAGGCCAGGCCCTTTCATTTGGTATCTCATTTTGTAATCAAACGAACGTCGAAAATCTTTTGGCTTTTTAATAGGTGGCAAGCCTACCCAGAAAAATAATACATTATTGCACATGTAGAGGATAAGTCTTCTGATGGCAACCCTATTAGAAAGAAAAACGTTAGTGCTTTTACTTTTTATTACATATAATGTTCCAATTTTTAAATTCAAGACTAAATAAAATAAACATTAATAAAAATTACTAACTTTCCCATTTTTTTATTTATCTTAATTTACTTA